GCCCGGGCGACTGGAGGGGGTCCCTGAAGATGCTGCAGTCCCTGGCCTCCCAGCAGAGGCTGGGCGGGTGGACAGGCCATTGTCTTTCATGTCTTCTCCAGAAGCCCTGACCCCCCCGGGTCTGCTGAAGAGACAGCCTCTTCTCGGGCTCCTTTCTGGGGAAGTTCGTGGGTCCTTGTCCCCTGGGCCCACGTGCTGAGGACCTGCTCTGGTGTGGACCACCCTGGGTTGGCTCTGGGCGTCCACGGCATTTGTCAGAGCAGGTGCCCTCGGGGCCCGAAGGCGGAGGGTGGGGCCGTGCTGCGCTGCCCCAACTTGATTTTGTGGTTCATGGGCCGCCTTGACTGCACAGACTGGGAGCCCAAGGGAGGAGGGGGCTCTGCTTCCTGGGAGCAGGGTGTCTTAGCCCACCCACAGGGCTGCAGTACAGAAAGCCCCTCTTCCATGGCCGCCGCGCCTGGTCCTGCTCAGAGATGGCCCCGGCAGTGGGCAGATGGGAGTGGCAGGCCCCCCAACCTGGCGGGAGAGGATGGCGGCAAGGCAGGCAGGCCCCCCCAGCCAGGTGGCCCCTTTCCGAATCCAGTCTGTGCTGAGATGGACGGGACTGGAGTCAGGGAGGCTGGGCTTGGCTGCTTCCTGGAGGAGGTGGTGTGGTCAGGTGGCAGGTTCTCACGTGTTCACACATGGGCCGTGGCATCCAGCTTGTGCGTTTTCTGGCAGTCTCTGCTCAGGGCTGTCCCTAAGGTCTCCCCACATCTCTGCCCAGGGCTCGAGTCTACTGTGAACATTTGGCCTGAACGGTTGAGGCCAGCAGAGAGGGAAGGCCCAGGCCCGTGTCTAGCCCCCTCCCCTGCAGGAGAGGACCAATGACACCTGCCCCGTGTCCCCCCAGGTTCGTGTCTGGCGGTACTTGAAGGGCAAGGAGCTGGTGGCCCAGGAGAGCCTGGTGGATGGTGGCAACAAGGTGGTGATCGGCGGCTTCGGGGACCCCCTTATCTGTGACAACCAGGTGTCTACTGGAGACACTAGGATCTTCTTTGTGAACCCAGCACCCCCGTACCTGTGGCCAGCCCACAAGAATGAGCTGATGCTCAACTCTAGCCTCATGCGGATCACCCTGCGGAACCTAGAGGAGGTGGAGTTCTGCGTAGAAGGTGCGTGGGGAGCCCAGGGCGCCGGTCAGGGTAGGCTGCAGCCTACAGAAGGGTGCCGTGTGGGGTGGCCCCTTGCGCTCTGGGAGCGGGAGCTGCAGGGGAGAGTCTGCATGGGCTGGAGCGGCCCTGTCCCGGGGTCCAGCCTCGCTCCCCACTCCTGCTTCTTGCTGTGTCTCCAGCCACCCTGAGGCCAGCAGCCCCCACCCTTCCCTCCCTGCTCTCTGCACTCCCTCCTAGAGGCCTTGTCACCTGTTGGATTGGACTCCACGCTGAGCAGCCCACGGGGGAAGGGGGGTCCTGTGGGGGTGGGGGCTGCACTCCCAGAGGCCTGTCACTTGTGGACAGAGCAGCTCTGTGGGTGAAGGAGCTTGGATGGGCGTGGGGGCTCCCCTGCAGGGGGAGAGCCTCTTTTCACCTGCTGTCCCGGCATGTCTGCTCTGAATAGCCCCGCGTGCCCTGGCCCCAGCCGAGCCTGGGCGTGAGCAGAAACCCCAGGTCAGGGCCCCCTTACCCTAGGACTGCCCTGTTGGGGCATGAGACATTTGGCTGGGAATGTGGCTGGGAAAATAGAGGAACTCCCCATCGCCTCCACATCCTGTCTGCTCCCTCCTGGCTGCCTGGGAAGGGATGTGTGAGTGGGGGGCGCAGGGAGAACACTTCCTCCCCAGGGCGACGGCAAGGGTCGTGACTTCCTGTCCCTCTGATTTGCTCGGTTGGCCAGCAGGAAAGTCCTGGCCTCTGTTTGCCTTGTTGCCGTGATGCTTGTTTGGCTCCTGAGAGGTCTCTGTGGGATCCTGGGTGGTGGCCTCATCGTGCTTTCCTGTTCCCATAAAGGCTGGGGACACTGCGCAGGGGGAGGGACAGCACCCAAGGTAGGGCGCCCTGTGACCTCTCACAGCCTGGGGTCAGTGCTTCCCGGGCTGGGTTCCAGGTCTGGGGCCGCAGAACAACACAGAAGGGTCCCCTGGTCCCTTCCCAGCACAGGCTCAGCTGTGAGGGCCCCACCTGGCCTTGCCACTGGGCGAGGACTAGACACCCTGGCCCTGCTCTGGGCGCTTGTGGTTTGGGGAGAAGATGAGGGGACAGGCTGTGGGACGAAGATACGGCTGGTTTGGGGCTGAGGGGGGAGCTGAGGAGGGACTGGGGTAGACTCAGGGTGGGACCGTCCCCTGTCCCTGCAAGATCCAAGGGGGAATGATTAGCTCCGAAGCTGGATGGGTCTAGCCCTGGGGTCGTGACTCAGTAACAGGGCTTGCTGTTGAGTCAGAGGGCAGTGGCGGAAGATCACCACCAATGTCCTGCAAAGCCCACCGGATGCGGGCTAGAGTGCCCAGGCTGAGCTGAACCTGGGAGGGAGGGTCCACAGGAAAGCCCTGCTGGGAGGGATGCAACTAGACCTACTGGTGGGGCTGGGAACCATGGCCATTGCCTCCCAGGGTGGGGCCGGCCAGGGAGGAGAGTCGTGGGGAGAGGTCGTCTGCAGGTGAGCCAGGATGGTGGGGAGCTTCCCAGAAGAGGGTGGCGAAAATGCCCCCAGAAGCCTAGGGTGAGACTGGTCCACACATGGGTGCCTGCCCAGGGTGGGTGCACGTTCCCTGGAATCAGGGCCTGGCTGGAAAAGGAGCAGCCCTCTGCCCAGCTCCCATCAAGCTGGGTGTTGTGGGAGGGGGGACTGCAGGAGATAAGGACATCTAACCCTAGCCCAGGCCCTCTGGTGGCCAGGCTTCTCCCTAGTGAGGGAACAGGTGGGCAGGGCTTGGCCAAGCCTACCCCTCCTCATCGACTCTGGCCCTGCCCCACAGGGCACAAGGAGATGTCTGGGCCATCCCTGTCTGTGGGGGTGAGTCTGGGGCTGAGGCGGGCGGCCACGGGGCCCCGCCTTGCATGGGGACACCCTCACCTGGAGCCAGAGGCCCGGAGCAGCCAGGGTTGGGGAGGGCAGGTCTTAGCTGTGCCCAGCACCCTGCTTGTTTAAACGCCACCCTGAGGGGTGCCTGCTGTGGGCCACTTGCCTGGGCCCTGGCTCTGCTGCAGATTTCCTCAGTTTCTCCCCAGCCGCTGGGTCTTCTGGCCTGCCCAGCCTAGGCCCCTCTCCCAGTCCCCAGCCCTCAGGAAGGCTCCTCCCCCTTCTCTGCCCGGGGAGCCACATTCCTGGCATAGCTGCGGCAGGTATGTGCCCCTCCCTCTGCGCCACCTTGGGGCGGGGCTGCTCCTTCCGGAAAGAGACCCCCACCCCCTGCTTTGTCAGGGAAGTGGCCTGGCCTCTCCCAGTGCCAGCAGCCCACGCACGGGAGTCTGCTCAAGGCGGGCAGCTAGCAGGCATCTTCTCCGGCCCTCCACCACTCTGTTCTGGTCTGGGCACTGCCCACACCTCCCCACCCCAAAAAGCTGGCCCTCAAGGGCCCCCTGGAGCCCCCAGAAGGATGCCTGACTGAGGGCCCGCCGGCGGCCTGGGGCCCTTCCCTCCCCCTTAGAAGGCAAGAGCAGAGAAAGAAAGTGTTGTCTGCCCCTGCCAGGGCCTGGCACAGGGACAAAGCAGGGGGCCAGGGTCCAAGTGAGTCTGGCACCCGCCCAGCCCGGCCCTGCCCAGCCCTGAAGCCTGGGGTCCTGGTGGCCTGGCCCCCCGATCTGATGTATTCTGGCCAGCACGCCCTCCCTTTCTCCCTGCCTGGGCCATTGGAGGAAAGCCCGGGGTCCCAGGGCCCAGGGGCAGTGTGGTGCTGGGGTGGGTGACCTGACGCCCCAGACCGGGCCTCCCCACTGCGGGCAGCCTGGGACAGCAAGGGGGTTCTGGGCTTGCAGGAGGACCTCCCTTGGGAGGGGACTGGCCCCTTCTGGTACCTGGCCTCTGCCCCCGTCCCTGGAAGGCTGCGCGCTCCCCCTGCATTTCTCCTGTGGAGCGGGAAGGTGGTGGCTTTCCTGCTTCCCTCTTCTGCCCCTTCTGACTCCAGCCTCTCATCCCACCCTAGGCCCGTAGGCCCCTCCCCTAGGCAGGTCCTGGCTTGGAGGCTGCCTGCCACCTGGAATCTCCGTTCAGCTGGGGGAGGGGGTCTCTGGGGTGGGGAGGGGCCACCTCTGTCTTCCCCCAAGCTGGGGTTTCCTGGGTCTTCCTTTCACCTGGGCTCTCCCGGATTTGTCCCTGGTTCGCTGGGCGGCCCTGGGGTGGGCTTTGCTGGCTGAAGCCAAAGGGAGTCGGCGATTCCCTTAGGCCTGGAAAAGACGGCCAAACTGAGCTGGTGGAAACAGCTCTTGGCTTTACCCAGACCTCCCTTCCCTCATCCAGAGAAGAGCCCTAGCTTCGTTCTCCCCTGCACACTGGAAATGGAAAAAAGGTTGTTTTGAAATGATCTCTCCTCCTCCCTCCCTGTCTACACTGTCTCCCCGTGGTTGCTGGCCCAAGCCTGCTCTGGTGGGTGGAGGTGGAGGGAGGTCCCCTGGCTGAGGTGGCAGGATGGTCAGGAGTGGGGGTGGCTGCGGCGGGGAGGGGAGAGCAGGTCCAGCCACAGGCGCCTTCAGCTGTCTGCTCCCCTGCCCTGGGGGGTTAACCCTGTGTGAGCCTATGAGATAAGAGCCTGCCCCATAACCACGGGAGGGTGGAAAACAGTGGCAGAAAGAGCCCCCCAGTCTCTCCCTGCACCTGTGGGACCCAGGCCAGCTGCCCTCTTCGGAGCAGGGGCCTGGGGAGTTCTACACCCAGAGGCTTGGGTGGGGCAAGGCGGGAATCTCCTCCCTGCCCTCCTACCCCTGGCACCCCCTGGTACCCCTTGGCTTCGGGCACAATCATGGCGGGCCTGCCCTGGGGAACGAACCCCCAGGGTCCCAGGAAGTGCTGCCCCTCACAGGTTAGGAAAAGGGTTGAGGTGGCCCCCCCAACAATGGTCTGCTACAGAAAGGGTGCTGTGCCCCCACTTCCTGCCTGCAGGGGCTGCACCAGGGCCTAGAAGCTGTGTGCCAGCTCCAGGCACACATGGCACTGCGGCAGGACAGTAGCGCTGCCAGCGCTGAGGG